CAGTATGTGGAGGTTGGAAGGCATCAAGGCATATCTGAATGTTCAAACATCTGCTCTGTTAAAGTGACCTAGGCGTCAGAGTCACACCTTTTTAATCAAATATTTGTGTGTAGCATGTAAGAAATAATATATAAAAAATGTATATAGCTTAACCTGTCATATATAGCATACATGAAATTACACCGCAGCAGATCTATACAGGTGGACCTGGGGAAGGTGGAGGGTTTCTGAAACACGCTGCAACTTCTACAGCAAGCACTAGCTTAACATTTAAGTATTTAAATGTTAAGCAGCGACGCATTGGATGCTGATGCAACTAGAACCACTCGCCTTGTGAACAATAATGTGATTATATCAGTTAGAGTTAGAAACTCTCGGCCTGCGCCATCTAGAGTTTCATGACAGAACTTTGTATATGTTTCCATAATCAGAACAGAAAATGTGGAAAAAGGTCTGTCTAGGTATCTCACTCCATTGTTCCCTGTAGCACACTCTCTCTCTATCTCTTTCAGTAATGGCCTCTTTCTTTTGCTTTGGCCTTGTGATTCTAAATGAGCCCTGACATGTTGAAACAGGTAAGGGTATAAGGGAACAGAGTGAAAAAGGCAATTCATTAGGAGAGCGAGCCATTCACAGATGTCATTGGGGCAGCAATGGAGGTAGCTTGCATGAATATGCTTTGATGTCAGATGGAGTGAAAGAGAAAGATGCAAAGGCGTTGTTGTATATGCTATGTGTAGGTGTGTGGGATTATGGAAAAATCTTTTGATTCCAGCATATGTGACATAGAGATGGTGACAGACCATACAGTATATATCACCGTTTGCAAAAATATTAATCAGCACAACTGTTTTTACCATTGATAATAAGAATTGTTTCTTGAGCAGAAAACTGACATTTAAGAATAATTTGACTGGAGTAATGTCTACTGAAAATGTAGCTTTGCCATCAAATGAATATGTTATACAAATGTGTTCATTACAAATTAAAATACTGAAAATAATGTATTTTTTTAACAAATATTTGTGTGCTATGCATGTATATGCTTATTACAACATGTATTTATTATAGCAAGATAAATAAAAATGAGAGAGTAATGTAAAGAATGACTAAATAATTAGTACAGGCAAAAATATAAATGGTCAACCTTGGGTACAGAGATACTGACCTTACATTTGACTTTTCTTTTCTATTATAAAACCTTGATGGAAATTAATTTTTTGCCAAAATGGACCTTGTCCCAAGGTATAAGCTATGTTTCATGCTTATTTTTATTTTTCAGAAATTGACCAGGGTGGATGTGGAGACCCTGGAATCTCAGCCTATGGCAAGAGGGAAGGCACAGGCTTCCGACATGGAGACAAGCTATATTTTGAGTGCCTTCCAGCCTTTGAGCTGGTAGGAAAAAAGAACATTTCCTGCCAGAAAAATAATCAGTGGTCAGCCAAAAAGCCAAGCTGTGTGTGTAAGTGACAGACCTTACCCAAAATGCATTACTTTCCACACCCACATGATCACACCTGGGAGGATAATACACCATTATTACTGTCTGGGCACGTCAGAAAGTGAATTTAATGGCAGTGTCTTTAGTACAGTATGTCCCCGCCGAAACTTCCTTGCACCGGCTGAGCCATTAAATCATTAACTATAACTCAAGTTAAAGCCAAAGCGACAGTTAATTTAATGCATTTAGTTCCTTTATTTACTGTATTGGAGTTATAATGAAGTTAACGAATTTAACTGAACTGGAGAAAAAAAGAAGGCTTGTTTGAGAAGTAGGAATATAAAGAGACATGTTTGTAAAAATTCAGTCAGTTGATTTTCTTGTTTGCTACCTCTAAGTAAAGAAAGGTTTTTCCTTGAATTAAGTGTCATAACATACAATGTTGTATGGCAGTTGATTCTTGTACAAATTGTTTAGATATTATTGTTCTTTCTCTATTATTTGGATTCATGCATAACGTCAATTTGCCCCAGACTGTAGTCATTTGTTACTATAATGGCTACCATCCTATTACATTGTAACGTTTATTATTATTTATTAGCTCTAAAAAGGGGAATATTTATGACGAATTATAACTGGTTATGATTCATAATAAATATTTAGATTATATCTTCGAATTAACTGTAGCAGAATCAATATTACAATTATTTGATCTGTCCGTCCACCGAGCAGACAATATAATCATTTATCAATTCAAGGAATATTTATTTTCTGGCCACGGAACAATAAACTGTCCTTCTTTGTACAGTGCTAGCAGTAATTCTTAGCAAAATGTAGCGAGGGTTCAAACATTCATTGATTTGGAACTGTGAGCAGTAAACAGAGACAATCCGTTGTGAATATAAGGGATTTAATAAAATGAAACTATATCTAACATATAACTAACTAAAACATATATACACAGAATGAAACAAAGTAAGGAAAAGAGAGAGAATAGGAAAAGAATGGCAGTATTTCACATCACTTAACCACAACCTTGGAAAATCATCAAAGAATCCAAAAATCACCTTAAAAAGGGACTGAAACTTAAACACGCATCTAAATAATTTTAAGCGGTTACTTGCATTGGGTTCGATTGCTGAAGAAGAGTCCTGATGCGGTAGATAAC